TCTAGAATTGAAATCCACTTGGAAAAACAAACAATGAAGATGCAATTGCTGGTGAGTCCATTTTAAATCAATAATGCTGTTAGTTCACTAAAGTGATCGATTTCAGTGAAAAACTATTGTGCAACCTTGAGAAATTTTATTACTTGACAAAATATTATTTGCTATTTCATAGTACTGGCTAATTAATATTAAAAGTGCCAGGCTTAACAAAGGCCAGTGTGTTAAAAGCAATTTTTCCTGTCTTCACAAACTGCTATGTCATAGTTATGTTCAGCTCAATGAGTTTAGACCTCACAGAACTACAGTCAGTAATTGTGTAGAAAATTGCACTGCATTGAAAGGTCTGAAAATCACAAAAGCACAAATGCAAATTAGTTATGGAAAGTCCATGGTTTGTGGTTTAAATGAGAACTTTAGAAGATTTTTAGGGAGGGACAAGCAATTTGAGAAGTGCCCTTTCAGAACACAACAGGAAACATGGTAAAACTGCCACCCTTCTCTCATCTGGTTCCAGAGCTGACATGGACATTCTACAATTTACAGCACTATTTTCTTATCATCCCACCTAGAATAACTTCCTGAATTTTAATCCTAATTTTAAAGGCGGAAGAAAGGAGTTCCTGTATTAGACTACCTAGCAGTATCATCTCTCTCCATCCAGCATTCATAGAACTCTAACCAAAAAACGACAGCCAGCTTTTATTTCTTTTGTGCTGCCTTAGTCCAGTGATTTCCACACTGTGCCCTGTGGGATCTGATTCAGCTGAGATTTTCACCTCAGATGCATCCACAGAAGGCTTTGAGGGTCACAGTGGGAACTGTGGGTTCTTAGGAGCTGGTATGCTGAAAGAACTACCCTGTATTTGGTCAAGCTTCTGGCTCTTGTTCCCAGTTGGTTCAGGACTTTTTTCAACTTGTTCCGATTTCACGTTCATTACTGGACCTTTGCCCCTACACCTGGCTGCGTCTGCCCTGCCCACAGGTCTTTGGTCCTCGTCTCTGTAACCTGCAGTCTCCACGTTTGTTATTTTCATTATTAAAGTTCTTCTTTTCCAGCCTAGACCATTGTTCCCGTTCCTTATTTTGCCGCTCCCTCCAGCCAAGCCGAGCAAGGGGATCAAAGTGAACTCTAAGCTGCAATAGTGCCCTGTAGATCCAAGGAAGTGAACAGACTGCCTTGATTAGTGAAAAATTACCTCATTAAAAAACAAGCAACTATATATTCTCAAAAGCACATCTGAATGTCCCTTCAATGGCAAAACACATCTTCATCAGGAAAAAAATCAGGGATCAATGATCAGTGAGTGAACAAATATTGTAATCTGACATTTCCTATCGGTAAACTCATTATCCATTGCAGAAACACAGCCTGCACAGCTTGACAGCACTGTGTGTGTCCTTCTTCACTGATCCAGAAACACATGTCATGAGAAACAGTTGTTTGATCAAAATTAACAGTTAGTTGCTAGCAAAGACAGGAACAGAACCAGTCATCCCACTGCAAATTGTCTCCTCTTGTTTTAACAATAAAATAATTTTTCCCTCTTCCCTAGAATTTCTACTTGAAGAAAAGACAGAGATCCCTGCTGTAAAATCACAGTATTTCACAAGGACAGAATGCAGTCCTTCATTTCTTCACAAACCTCCAGTTCTAGTGGAGTGCTTTCCTTCCAGCAGGATTTCATCTGCACCAATTTAATTTTTCAGACTTCTAGACATAAGGGGAAATAAGCTTCCAGCATGACTCAATTACAGGAAGTTTGTTTTTCTTTGTCTCGTTAGGTTTCCTTCTGCCTTTTCAATACTTGGTTCACTCAGCTTTAATATAAGTATTTTCATTTAAAGAAATAAAATCTCCAAAAATTTTGGATAAGGCCCTTGGTTTATGTAACCCAGTTTAGATGAGACACTCAGTTAAATCTGAGGCACATAAAAGACTTTCACTGTGCCTGCACAAGAAGCCTTACACAACAGCTGGTTTTATACATAGGGAATACAGTTCTGGTTCTGTTGGCATCTGTGTGGTTTTGCACTGATACCAGCACAGATGCAGCAGGCAACAAGATCTCATATTGTTTGGCTGTATGGTTTGCTTAACAAGTCTTAGTTCACAAACCCCTTTACCTCTGAATAAGAAGCAATTTGTTAATGCAATCTTTATGCTGATGGCCACCTACAAAAAAAAAAAAAAAGAAAACAAGGACAGCAATTGCACAATTGCACACACGGCCTGCAGTGTGATTTCCATGTTGCAAGAAAGAAATCCTCAGTCTTTACAGACCAGGACCACAGTGCACTGTTCCTGAGCCGGAGGACATGAGGAAAGTATGAGAAATCAAGCTTATTAAAAACCTCTCCTCATTTTTGCTTTTTGAACCAGCTCTGCCACTTTCCATAACTGCTTCTCCTGATAACCCACTCACCCTCTGTGCACAGGAGGCATTCCTTCATTGCTTGGCATCAGAGTATATAAACTGCTGTGGCTGAGATATGCCCACAGGAAACTGTGTAAGGGTTCTTACCTTTTCTTTTTTCCCATGATGTAAAGAGAAGCTATTTCTCCCTGTAACCTGGCTGCCTGCTTAAGCCTCATAGCATAAGCAAAGTGAAGAAGTTTGATTACTGGTGACAACTCTCAGGCTGTAGGTCTTACACACTACTTGAAGAGTTTTGAGATTCAGCATCTGTTTTTCAGTGGTTCATTTTCTACACTTTGTCCAGCAAAAAATCAGTGAAACCATGTAACCAGTAAGATTTGGTACTGTTTCATTCTGATCTAAATTATACACCAGGTGTAGTGCACTGGAAAAACAGGCATTTGGAGCAGGGTAATGTTGAAGTGATGTGCCAAAATAATACTGGGGAGCATTATACAGCTAGTCCTGTCTTTTTCCAGAAGAAATCTGAAGCTAGGTTTCTAATCATAAAACTGCTAAGAAAACATGGCATCTTTCAGTAAGTACAGAAAAGAACATTTTGCAGTAATGGTACCAAAAAATCTCTAGTCTTATTTATACTGGGCCAGGCTGATCTTAAAGTAATTAATATAAATCAGGAGTAGCAACATGGAATTATTCTGGATTTTCACTGGAATAAATGAGATCACAATCTGGCCTAAACTACTAATGGGAAATATAACCCTGACCACATATGAATACAGTTACACCACAGAGTTCTTCATTACACTTTATGGACACTGACTTCACAGTAAACTGGCTGGCACCCAGGTGGAGTGAAATTTGGCCCATTAAACTTTGCCATAAATATATTCCTTACACAGCAAATGTTATTGGACACAAAATAGAGATGGAAAGATTACAAGAAAACTACACCATCCCCTACTCAATGCAAGTTTGTTCCCTGTGCTCCATGTTTCAATGTCTTTGTTAATTTTGTGTTTTAATGATTCAAGTGAAAGAGCTTCTACCACTGACCTTGAAAAGATGTGTTACAATCCAACTAGAACTGTCTCCTGAACTCAAAGGCATAATGCAATAGTTCTATCACTTCATGTTTCAAAAATAAAGCCTGCAATAATAAAAATGTTTCTATTAATAGGAAACACCCATGTATTAATGTTCAACAGAAATATATTGGGAAGAATGCAATCTCCTGACTTACAGAAATCTCTCAAAAGGTGACAGTGAGTGTTTCATGTTGGTTCCAGCTGACAGCCTAAGACTTTCAGTCTCTCTTTTTCATTCAGATGTATTTACTTACTTGCTTATACTTGCATTATCAGGCTAGGCATTGTCATGGTAACTCAAAATTCTGTCCAGTATTCAAAAACCACTGGAGTATATCATCAGTATGGATGAACATATAGAGCATATTGAAATGTCCTTTACCCTCAGCTGGGAAATTAGTGGTTTCTGATCATTCTCTGACTGAATGGGAATAGCAGCCCTTGATGAGGCTGGTAAGGTTCAGAGGCAGGCCACAAAAACATCAGACAACCTGAAAAAATACTATACAAGAGGAGGAGAAATGATTGCTTAAAGAACAAAGTGTCATAAACTATCAAAATCAAGCCCCTAAGTGGATTTATAAAGTAATGAAATGCTAATTAGATGGGCTGAAGTAACAATAGACAGTGTTTCCTCCCACTCTGAACAGTATAAATTTATCAGCTGCTGAGACTCCGTAAAGCTCAAAAAAAAGTAGAAAAAAGAAAAATTTCTCATGGACAGGCAAGAGAAAGTATATGCCACTTTCTTTTTTAAAAAGGTGGAATTGGACCATGTAGAAACCAGAGGACAGACAAGGTGGTACAAATGCAGTGCAATTCATGTACACCTGTGTCATTTTGTATTTCTCTTCTAGCAGTTACCAGAACAGAGCCTATCATCCACAATTAAAGTGTCCAGATTTTATTATCAGTAGTTAATAGTAACTCAGATACCCTAACTGCTTCTTTTGGTATATCCAGAACCTGAAAACCACAGGCTAAACTCTACTCCCATCAGATCTGTATGCCTACTAAAGTCACACAAGTCTTTTTGACAAGAATATTTTACAACAGCTCACATTTTGATACAGACCCATGTTGATTTCATCGTGTAAAAGACATTTCAAAAGCTGAAGAGCCTAGAACAGAATTTGGATATTCTGCTTTACAAGTTCCATCCTCTTTGCCAGTCTTCCGGTCAGTTGTTGACAATCATAGATTTATTTATCTCAATTTTAGATTTATTCTTAAAATCAGGTGCCTTTCAAAGCCAAGGAGATGGTAAGATGTCAGTTTTTAACTCAAAAATTTGGTAAGAGAGCTGATTCAGCTAACATAAAGGAATGAGTCCACCAATGCTGCTAGAAATAGTAACTTATCTTCTTTTAACATATAAGCTCTGATTTTTCTAATGCTAAAGGCTCCTCAATTCAATGGGGCAGTTGTTAAATTGTACTGCACAGATACCAGCAAATCAAATATAAGCAAAGACAAATTCGTTTGCAAAATCTATAATTGTGCCCCTACTCCGCAAATTAACATGGCATGTGTATTCATTTCACTATTTTATTTCCTCAAAAATAGATTAATAAGGGCTAGGTTGAGTTTTCAAAACTTAAAACCCACTCAGACTCTTGTAAACATTTTATATTTTTTTCACAAAGCATCTATTACAAATTATTGTAAACAGTGATTTCCTGAAAGAAATGAATGTAAACTCAAAAAGAAATGGATTTAAGTGAACTATCATTCCCTTCTTCATCCAACCTGCCCGGTCCCATGGTGACATCTGTCTTCATAGCTCTAATTATGAGAAGTCATGTGCCGGGATAAATGATGGCGCTCTCGGAAGTACTCATGGCAAATGGGGCATGTCAGCTTCTCCTCTCGTCTCCTCTTGCACTGGGATTCACTAGAGGAGTATTCTTTTTTGTGATGTGACCGCATGTGGAAGACTAAATCAGATGTCATGCGAAAGGACAGGTTGCATTTGGCACACCAGTTCTGGGCAGCCACTCCAAATGATGTGAAGGTGGGGGGAAGAAGAGTCAAGGAAGAGGAGGAGGAGGAGGAGGAGGAAGAGGAGGAAGTGGTGGTGGTGGTGTTTTGTAACTGTCCTCCTGCTTGCTTGAGCCAGGGTTCTGAGGTATATGGGAAAACATTGCTCCGAGTGATGCTTGTCTGCAGCATCTGAGCATTACACAAATCACTGACAAAGAACTTGGAATTGAGAAGACTGCTGCAGCACATGATGTCTGCGGTGGCAATGAAGCCAGACAGCTCCCCCAGGCTCTTTGTTGACTCACTCATGGGATGAGAAGAATTTACTGCAGCTCTTTCTATTACGCACTTACTGGGCTTGCTGAAAGCACTCTTCTGTTCTCCTCGAGCTCTGGTGGGCCAAACAAAGGAGAATGCACTACCAGAGGAGTTCAGCAACACTTCCTTTGGCACCTGCTCTTTACCAAGTGGGGCAGTGACATCCTCCTGCTCTGGCTCCTGCAGTCTCTCATTCCTCAGCTTCTCTTTCATTCTCCTGACCTCAGTGAAAGCACTCTGCTTCTGCTCTAAAGCATCCTTCCTAGCTGACTGCCTCCCTGAACTAAGCTTCCTGAAAGAACCAGCCAATGCATGCTCTCCCCCAACCTCTTCCTTGCCCCCACAGTTACGTTCCTCAGTCAAATTATTGGTTTTCTCCAACAGCACTGTTTTCCTGCTCCTGCTGTTCTCAGCCTCTTCAGATTTTGCTCTCCTTTCTCCAATAAGACCATGTGCATCATCTTTACAAGCTGTCATTTTGACTTCCAGGTCCCGTGCCAGACTGTGGAAATTTGTGGTCTGCTCAGCTAGGCTGCTCTTTTCAGTTTTAGGGTTCTGGAAGTTTCTCCACAGCAGAGCACTCTTCTCTGGCACACAGAGGAAGCGGACATGGGACAGATAGGAATGCTCACATTTAAAGACTCGGTCACATTCTTGGCATCTCAACTCTGCAGAAACAGACAACAAGTGATGAGTTTTGCAAAGGTGGAATAATAGGTGGATGCAGATCCTGATCATGTGATTGACACAAAAATTGTGTCATACAAGGTTAAATATGGTAAAATTAATGCCAGTGCAGAATCAGGTCCCTTCCTGCTATGCAAAATGGTTCACTTTTATTTGCTTCCATGCTTCTGTGCTACTGGCAGAAGTATTCCATTTAGACTCTCAAGCCTAAATTTTATTACATAAAATGTAATTATATTACATGAAAGTACACAAAATGCCCAGTACACCATGATCTAGATAAAACCATTTAGAGTTCATAATGATTTGAAGTCTAAACCCAGATTTGGGTCTACATTTCTTAATTAAGTCACTAGCTTTCATTCCGGATGAATGTTAAATACTATGTATCCAAGCAATAATGAGTTTTAGAACAGGATTCAAAGATTTTTACATGACTCTATTTTTAGGATAGTCTGGAAGTTTAATACCGTTCAAAAATCATCTGACCTTAATGCCTGAAGCCCTTATTCATGCTCATTTGGCAAGCTGTTATATACCTTAAGGCACAGAAAATTATGTTCAAATTGAAACAATGCCAGTGATAGGCAGGAGGAATAAGGAACATTCTTTCCTTGTGGTCTTCAGACCTACTGCATCTCTGGTTCATTGGGATGATTGACTGCCCATGAACAGATGGTACAAAATTCAGCAATCAACACAAATATGGTACATCTTAACCCTTGTAAGCATGTTACGTTATTTCACAACACAGCAGTTTTACAATGCAAGGGATGACAGACAGCACCTGAGGGTGCTGGGATATATAGGAAAGTTCACTAATTGGTTGGGTAGAATCAAAAATTCCTAATTTGAGACTCAGCACAGCTTATATCACTTTACAAACTTTACAGCTGAATTTTTTATAAGAAAATAAAGCTGCCGAAATGGGTGGAACATTATACCTATGAGTTTAAAGTCTTGAGTCTAGATACAGTGTTTCTTGTGCAAGCACCACTCTTCCCTGGTAAATCCCAAGGCCTGGCAGTGTGCATCTACACAGAAATTAACAGAATACACTGAAAACAGCTGGAATGATTTAATTGGTTCCTGTCATGGATGTGTCTGAATTAATTTAATACTAATTTACAGACAAGCACATTACCATATGAATTTGCTAATGGATAACTTTATCAACCTATATCTTTACTATCTAATCTATATACACCTTGTTTAACTTAAATAAAGGGAATGTAGAAAGGGTTTTTGTTCCAGTTTATCTATGCAAAATTTGGAGTAAATGACATCTGGAGTCAGAGCTGGTATGGACCTGTCTAATTTGCTTGGTGTCTCTGTAATTTCGATTTTTAGTTTTGTAACAATTTCCAGATCGATTTCTTTTGGAGCAATGAATTTTCAGCAACATCTCAGAAACTGAAGCTTGCTCTTTTCCTCATTACCACTGTGTCCCACACAAAATAGGCAGACTGCGCTGCATGCAATACTGTTAGGTTTGTTATGTGTTTTTAAAGATCTGCTCATTTACAAATTTAAAGCTAGACACTAGCCTATACCTGATTTGTCAATAAGCTAAAAATGGCCTATTTCCAGATGATACTTTAGACTTTTAGGATTCTAAGTTATCAAAGTGCATAGATTTCCATTGCATAGCTCAAAAATTTCAGTGTGAATCCCTAGTGCACCATCCTCTGCTAGAAAGTACCAATGAGAATGGCATTAAGAACTGCAAATTGCTTCTTGCTCTGTGCCTCCAGCTCAAACCTCAAAGCAGAATGTCTTTTCTCTCAGCAGACCAGCTAAGGATTTGCACATGTTTTGTATTATTATAAGACAACCACAGACTAAAGAAGATGCAGACTCCCTTCTGTCCTCAGTGACCCCTGCAATCAGCAATTCAGCACTTACCACTCTGGGGCCTTTGAGCTTTTATCTCATTGAAACCCAAGAGGCTGGAAAGCTCCTCATCATACCAGACAAGCAGTTCCTCATTTTTGCTGATTTTCCTGGTGGAGCGATAGTATAACTGACTGTTTTCTAAGTAAGCTTCCAAGTTCTGCTCCTTGCTATCGGCAGCTGCTTGTACGAGTCTCATCCAAGGCAGTCCTGTGGGACTGTGCACAGATGTAACATCCACCTGTGGGACAGGACACAAAGAAGGGCAGTTACAGGTCTCAAGGCCCAAAGCAAGATTTTCATCCAATGCAAGAACAAAGCCTGGTTTCTGCCTTGCACTGAGCACATATGACAAAGCTGTGAGCCTAGTACATCTGCCAGTGCTACCAAATCCAAAGGCATCCAAAGGCTTCTCCAGTGTGGGGGCTGAGAGGTCTGGGAATACAGCTGTGTGGGAGGGAGGAGGAGACACCAGTGTTCATGTGTAACCCCCCATGGCAAAGCCAGGCCTGAGATGTTGGTCAGTCTCTAGCCCTGTCCTGTGCAGACCATCCCATGGGACTGTGCAGGTGTGGATCACAGAGGTACGGGAGCTGTGAGCCTCTCTAAGAAGGAGTCTCAGTCCTTGGCATATGAAAATGGGGTATGAGTCAGGCGAAGTGCCACTGCTGTGACTTGGGGACTGAGAGATGTGCAGACCTCTGGATGAGTGCAGTGTGAAACTGGGAATGAACATACACTCAGGACAGCTGCATGTGGAGTTTTTCCTGACATAGGAGGATATGGATGAGGGGTGTAAGAAAATCATGGTTATTTGATTCAACACCCCAAGTAAACATCTGCACATCTGTTTGGCTAGATTACATAAAATACAGATTTTAATATATACAACTAAGAAGCACTTACATGCCCTCTTTCTTTCTTTTCAGAAATAAAATTATATATTTCTTTTTTTACATTTGCTAGATAAATTCAATTAATTTCAAGGTACCTGAACAGATAAGCTTCATGAGATCAGTATTTTTTTTAAATAATTTCTGAGAGTTGCAAGCTGATTTACTTTCAATTTGTGTGCATGCAGATATACCAAACAAATAAGGTTTAAAAACATTTCTTAGGCTATAAGGTCAGGCACTAAAAAGTTTAAAAAATAATATCAGGTCTATTGCTCAAATTAAATTTCCATTCTGTGTGTATATCACAGCATAGTCCTAAATCACATATAATTTTTACTCCACAGGACTCCTGAGTAATTTAATCACAGGTTGACAATTAAATAATGCAAGTACAAAACATTTGGCATTGTCTTCCTCACACAGTGTGTGACTCCAATCTTAGTTACTTTATTACACTGAATAGGGAATGATTTATTTCTTTATAGGTTTTTCCTTGGTGTTTACCACAGCAGGTCTGTGCCCTCTGCAGCATTTGAAAGATAGGGATTTTCATAGCTTGAAGGTTAAAACACAGGGTGATCAAAGGCAAGGTTTATATGCATAAATACTAATTTTTGAAGTACTAAGTCATTGTTTAGAAAGGAAGAATTTGCAAATTAAAAATATTTAATGACAAGTATGATCTAAATTTCACCCCAAGCAATGTATAGCTCTTTGTTTTCCAATAATTGCAGGGCAGCCATTCACTGGTGTTTGGTACCAGAAACAATATTTTGGCTAATTATTTCTATGGTTTTAACTGACTATTACCTACCATGAAAAGTTTGATCACATTAGTAGCTTGGATACAAGAATGAAACATTAAGAGACCATTAGCATGAGAGTTACTTAGTGTAAGAGAAAAAATAAATTAGCATGCCCTGAAACTGATTCTCTCTAAATGCCATGGTAATTAACAATGATTGAGAAATACAAGTGCCTGACAGCAACACAGGAACACCCACCCACACAGAGTGGCTGAAACTAATAGCTATGACAGAGGCTGTCATACTTTAGTTGCTGTGTTTCAGAAATACTGAGCAGCCACCCAGCGCTCTCAGCAAAGTCAAAGGGAGCACAGCTCCACCAGGACTCCAAGGAAAGAGTTCAGTGAGCTTCAAGTAGGTGAGGAGGAGTACAGATGTAAGATAAGATCTGGGTGCTGCCAACTAGAATCATGAACCAGCTTTAGTTTTCCCATGTGTTTAGAGACACTATAAACCCAGAAAATCCACCCTCTCCTGGAGATGTTAATCCCCCAGATGGATCCTTTGCACCCATGTATGAGGTAAGGCCTTCACAGCCCAGCATCTCAGTCACAGCTGGACTGTGGAGGAATGTGGCTCTCTCAGGAGATGCTGGAAGAGAGAAAATGTGTCTCTTCCTTGAACCCCCAAAGAAGCTGTAAGCAGCAGAGGAATCAGCTGGAAAGAACTACCTGTGCCAATGGCTGCCAAGGCATCTTCTTTGCCCAAGTGCACAAACTGGGCCAAGGAGCTCAAATTAAGGTCTCCAAGAAAATGAGGGGGAAAAGATTATAAAGTTCTCCTTTGGTCTAAACAAAAAAGCCCAAGATGATAAAACCTTTATTAGAAATTATATTCCCTAAAGTCTTGCAGGAGTTGCTGATGAACAAGGATGAACAGAAACTTGAGTTGCAATGAATCCACCTTGCCAATTCATTTCTGTGTGTATTCTGCTCGTACTACACCCAGCAGAGAAAAACCCATTTCTTGTTTTGCACTTCAGTGCCATGATGACAACATAGCATCATGATTTAATTTTTAATTAATTACTACACACAGTTAGGAGCCTAATGGTAGTTCCTGATTTCTGGGAGGTTTACTTTTAATTATGAGTAGTTAACAGGATATGGGACTACCAATTGCATCTGAAACAGCTACTTGCACAGAATTTCATGTATATACTGCCAAAAGACAGAGATCTGAGCCAACTCAGGCATCCAATTTCATTGCTGCATAGCAATTACTTAGCTCAAGTGTAGAAAAACACTAAAGCCATCCCTCTAGAGGGCTCTTCCAATGTAGAAAACCTTTGAGGCTCTCTGTACAGTAATTCAAAACTCCCAGGAGAAAACCAGAAATATTCCAAAAATAAAGCCTTATTTCAGGGCAAGTCTCTCTCCAAAGAGTTTGTTGGTCTCTTGGAGTATTAATAACACTGTCCAAGAAATCAAATTTGTGCCAGAGACTCAAAACAGTCAGATAAACCTGAAGTCTCTTCTTCTCTCTCTTAACTTGTTTAAAGCAGAAGTGTAGAACAGTTATCTACCAACAACTGTATCTTCCATATTACACATATGCCTTGAGATTTCTCTCCTCCAGAGCACAGAAATCTTAGGCAACCTGGATGTCTCTCAGATCCATCCATGCCACAGAATGTGGGAAATTGGCTCTCCTCACACTGGAAAACACCTCCCTACCTTCATCTAGACCAACAGTGACTGAAAGGCACTCCAAGACCCAGAAAGACAGGGTAAGTGGTCAGCATGATAAACAGTGACTATGAAACAAAAAAAAATTTGGTGAACTAGAGCTTGAGAGTTCACAGTCCATTACAATCCTGCGGTTTCTGCCTTCCCTACAGTGATTGAAAAGTGTAGCTGTAACACAGACATACACATCTAAGGTGACTTTAGGAAGTCCATGTACTAATAGCAGTTAAGCTGTGGCTCCCCTAAGTGTGTGTGGGCTAGTTGCCTGACTGCCATTATGGTTTCACTTTTAAGGATAACTGAACACACTGGGGTAGCAGTTGCCTAGATCTGTAAATAAATGCTGTGAATGTACCACCTGCATGAATCAGTGCAATACCACAGTCTTCCCCCTCTGTTCTCACAGGGCTGTCACACTTCCTGATAAACCTCCTTTGTCCTGACAAAAACTGAACTAGAGATTACTAATCTATTTGTCCCTCTTCCCTCCTATTCCAAGTAAGATCTGAAGCATGTAGCATAGAAGTGGGACTTTGTATTCTTCCTGCAAAGTATAGAGCTTTCCTTAGGTCCTTCCAGTCTACAGCTCATAAATCAGAAATGCACTGGCCCTTTCTCTTTGAAGATGTTACTTGTGGTGAACAAAACAAAAACTACTCCTTGCAAAGTTATCTTCTCAGGGATGGTGTAACTCTTTTTGAAAGGTCTAACATTCATAATTCAGATTTTTCTCATACCTTAAATACATAGTGGATGTTCCGTCTATCAGAACACTTGAGAGCAATGAAAGCTACAGTGTCCAGCAGGGTGTTCTGGAGCATGCATGGTCCAAAAACAACTTCTTCAGGGATGTCTTGTGTGGTATGAACAGTAGCCAGTATGTCTGGAAAATGGTGATGCAGAAGCTTGTTGTCACTTGTCCAAAGAAATTTAGGCAAAGATGTAAGTTCCATTATAAACCTGTAAAAATCACAAGAAATCACATTTGGCACAGAGACAGAAGTAGAAGGTGGCATCACTACTTGAAACACAAAGATTTCCAGGAGCTGTAAGTGAATTTTAAGAGTATGCCAGGACATTGTTGGTTACAGAATTTACAAATCTATTAATGTCCAATTAAGAGTGAGAAAGATTACTTTGGACTAAACCATAATCTTAGATTTGCAAACAAGTGAATTACTCTCCCTGGAACAGACAGTCCAAGAGTTCAACTGCTGCTCTCTACAGACAGGAGGAAGAAGATCTGGGAAAAATACGCAAAACTTTAAGTGAGTGGAACTCAGCATATTCTTAAGCATGTCCTCAGATATCTTTCTTATTATTAATAGTCTGTACAAGTGTGAAGAAAGGTAGAGAAAGAGAACAGCAACAAAATAAAGCAAGACTTTTTGAAAGACATTTTGAAAAAGCTGTGCTTTTTTTGCTTGAGTGCAACATCAGTTTAGTTTCTGGTTAAGCTGTTACAACAGCAGGAATAACCTGAATCCTGAGTCTATCCAACCAGAATGCACAAAATTTGTGGAAATTCCTGAAAATAATTATTTTCATCCTTCCTCAAAGTGTATGTTGTCAGCCGTTGTTGAGAAAATCAAATCAGATTATGACTCCTTGCATAGTGATACTCCTAGCACAATGTTAGTAGAGATTCCTATCTTTAGAGGATAAATTTTCCAGCCCTGAATGTAGGGTAATATATTTGTCATTGCAGACGCAATTCTGCAATATGAGCCACAATCTGAGAACTCAGTATGTAGTGAGGAGAAGACAGGCTTGAGTTATTTGTCATTCTAAGCCTCTCTAGGTTTCTAATAAAGATATTGCCATCTCCAGCTCCCTGCTGGAGGTCATGGAAAACCCCTCATTTATGCCATAAAGAGCAGGTCCATTAGGCAGAGAAAATTAAAGAGAACAGCAACAAGCCCTGAAGAGGCCGAACAAATACTGAGGTAGAAGGGCTGAAGATATAGTCTAATCTTTTTCACTATCTGCCAACAGAATTGATTTGTTACTCACTGATTCATGACTTAAACTGAAGTGGTATAAAGTGCTCAGGAGAGTTGCACTTATTTAACTAAATCAGTTTCTAAATCAGTGTGGTTAATTCAGTATAATTTATTCCTTGCAGGCAAGGTCTAAGACCCTACCCTAAAAATATTAAAATGCATGGTCAGACATTTGGTATGTAGTAAACATCAGAAGGATGTTTAAACCAGACAACCAAGGCAAAGAGTGGGATAATATACGCCCTCTATCCAACCTCAAGCATCCCTTGAACTCAATATGACACAAAAGTTTGCTTGTTTCTAAATTACTTAACGCAATATGTGATCAGACAAAAAAATCCCCAAAACCTACATGTGTAAGTGCCAAAGTCTCAAAGTACCACCCTGGCAGCTGTGGGAGCAAGGAATTTGGCTCTTGCATGGAAGGGTCACTTTTGTGAAAAGCTGTGAGAAGGATGTACTGTGATTACACAGCAGATGGGACAGTTACCGTCAGCCTTGTGCCAGAGGCGCTGGGAAGATCCATCTTTTCCAATCATTTGGCGAATGCACCATCTAGTGTCACATCTCAGCATAACACAGAGCCCCGTGCCAAAGGACATCCCCTAGTCTGCAGCTGTCCCTGCATTGTACGGCCGCAGCTTCTGAGCACCCTGTCACGCAGGAATCCTTTCTCTCCGGAGTGGGTCATTCCCTCTGCCTCCCTCTGCTCAAACAGCAGGCTGGGTGCTTCCTCAGGTACTGGGTTTGATAGGGTCTGGTCAGGGTTATGTCAGGTAGGGAGAGTCATTTAAATCTACAGTGTTGGCATTTTACAGTGTTGGCTGAAGATGTGCTGCTGGTAGAGTGGAGAGTGGGGATACTCTGCAACATCATTAGAAGAAGAAGGGTGAATTCTTTTCTAAAGTCCTCAAATAGCATAAGAAAGCCCTTCCCTCTGCATCCACAAGATTTCAGCTTCTGTTACTATGCGGAGTTCATCAGGTGGGGGATAACAGTGAGCAAACATGACTGTACTGCTTTCAAACCTGAGCTGCTACCTCTGCAAAGGGACGTGCTGCATCCTGTGGGTTTTCCAACCTGCTCTTGTTCAGGGATCTCCATTCCAAAGTGCAGCTTCATTCAGGGCAGTACTGGAACAAAGCCTGCCTCCTGCACAGGTGAGGGGTGGTAGGGGACTCTCTGGTAGCTGCTGCTCTCATCACAGAGAACTGAAATACTGACTTCCTAAAAATACTGAAATACTGACTTCCTTACTTTTTAGTAAAGACTGAAGCTTGAGACATGACTTGAGAGAAAAAAAAAAAATCAACTGATTTACTTTCTCAGATCTCTGGTGTAGCAAAGGAAACCAAACAGATGAGCTGAAGGGAGGTCAAAGGATCATGGACAGCAGGAATAAGAGGTGAAGAGGACATAAATATCTACAAAAGCTTCACAGGCATCACTGTGGTACTATGGCTGGATTGTACAACTCTGCAGCTGCAGCATGAAAGACGGCACCCATAAACAACCAAAATGCATTTTTACCATGGCAGGGTTTTTAAATTACTTTTCAAAATTACTTTTCAATGGCTGCTGCTGTTAAAGAAACTGAACTGGCTCTATGTTTCTTTTCTCTTAAATAAAGTTTACTAACATAGATTTAACCTTTGTCCCATGAGTCTAGAGGGCGTTGGTATCTGGAGAATGCACACAGAAAAGAGATGCCTTTTTAGCAAAGCTCAGGAAAGTTTAGCAGTATTCCAAGCCTAAATCTATATAGTGCCCTTCTCCCAGTAAGTTCAGTCAAATACTCACTGACACTGTACAGAAGTAAATCACGACAGAGTATGGGCATGATGCTGCCAGGGGCCCCAGCCAGCTCTGCTTTTCTCAGTCCTGCCTCCACTCATGGCAAACCTAGACACAGCCAAGGAATGGCTGTGTGCAAAGTCAGGTCCCACTGCTGCCAGAGTTCACCTGCTGGATTCTCAGAGAGGGTCAGCAGGAGTGTGACTACACTGGGGCATCTGCCAGTGCAGAAGGTGGCTGTGCAATAGTCAGTGCATACCTCATACCTTGAAACCACCACCAGAGATCTCAGAACTGCTGAAATACAGCAGCAGCACCCACAACTCTCAAAACAAACAGCAGAAATTAGCTAGGAAAAAAAAAAAAAAGATCACGTGTAAGTAGGCCAGAATATAAATCTGAAAAATCTGAAATACCCCTCAGTTTGAATGTAAGTTTGAGCCTTTATATGTTTTTCATCTGGTTAAAATCTAAAGCCAAAATTTCAGCCACAGTCTTCTTAGAGGTTTTTTAATAAAACCTCCCTTGAGTTTTCAACAACTTCAGACTTGAGCCTGAATGAGAATTCTACATCAAACCATGAACCCAGCTCTTGTTCAGTTATAAAATCTGTTTGCAATGCAAATCTCACACTTTTGCCAACAGTCATCATAGTCAAAGGAAATTCATTAAGAACCTGCAAATGGAGTCATAATGAGAAATGGAGAAGGTATACTAGAGTGCCTGCCATTCTCATTTGTCAGGCTGAAGTAGGTGAATCACTCACACTCTTCCCAGTGAGTGAAGAAGAGAGAAAATTCTCCTAACAGAGAATTCCTCATTACTTCACCCAACTGATTACTCTTGTCTTAATGCCATTGATTTCCACGTTTTGGCTAACTCCTTTAATGAGCACTAAATCTGCTGTGCCTTCATTTCTTAAAGATTCACTAGCCATTGTACATAGGACTTAATCATTCATTCTTCTTCTACTATGTAGCAAAGTTTAAAGAATTCTACCATAGGCTTCATTGTGAAGGTCAGATCTTCAGCTCTACATCATGCAGACAATGACAAGCTTGCCTCAAAGTGCCAGTGCTGAGTGCCATTGCTTCCCAGGATCACTCCCATACAACGGGATCTTGCTGCTCCCACTCAGGTTCTGCATAAGTAGTTTCCAATCCCTCTGGGATCACCCACAAACATCTCTGAGAGGCTAAAATAAAATGAATATTTATAGTGGTTTGTAGCACATTAGACTCAAATCACCTGTGAGAGCATGGGTACTCTCCATATTCTATCTGTCACAGATGTGAATTCTTCATATGGATGAGTGTAGGGACTTGCTGTTTAATGGACTCTTCATCCCCCAGACAGTATCTGATACACATATACCATGTCCCTAAGTGATGGATTTTGCATCTTGATTTCTGAGAAGTGTGACAGATCTGTCAAAGAAGAAGGACCTATGGGCAGGCAACTCCTTATGGATTATGCAATTCTGGATGTTCCATCAAAAAGCACATGAAATAAATAGATGATGCTTGCAGCAAATGCTCCCAGCCTGCTTGCCTCCAGAGTAGCACACAAATCAACTTTTGGTTTCCTGTGTGTTCTTCCAAGCTGGAACTCTAAAGATAGCATTATCCTAGTCTCTCCCCATTTCACAGCACTTGTATAGCATTCCATTAACTAATTAGGGTTACAACTTCTACCTTCCTGAAATACGTTTACATAGCTCCTGTACCTTATGAGAAAAACATATTACCAGAGATGAAAATAACAGAATTTTCAGATCCCTGGTTTTCTACTGCATGGCCTTCAGATGTCACTGCAAGCTCTCCTAAGAAATGTCTGGAAATTCCCTAATGTAGAAGAACTGATTTGAGCAAGGACTCCCCTGAATTCTATATTCAGAGTACTTGACCTGATTCTCCTTCCCACAGTAACCACACTGAACTGTGTCATTGTTTGGAGCTTCTTACTGACCATAAAGGCACTGGTAGCCCTGCTTAGTATTATCATCAACTATGCAAGTGGGAGGGAAATAAATTAATCATATTTGCAAGAGGGGAATCATTTCAGCCAGAACTCATTTAGCTAGTTCAGCTCATCACAATCCAAAAGAGAAGCAGGTAATAAAAACTGTTTCTCCAAAATTAATTTGATTTTTAAAATTGTCAA